TGAGCAGGAATCTTCTAACTAAACTGCTTTATTGCTGAAAGCCTCTGTGCAGGAATCTTCTAACCAAACTCAAGGCTCTTTTGACTCGGCCCCCATGTTCCACCCTTCCTCCTCCTACATCCTTCAAATTTACCCTTTTTCGTCGGTTCCGAGGATTTTGCTTTCTGCTGGGTGTACTCCTCCATTCGTCGGTCTCGTCCGGGGCAGGCGCAGACCCGAACGTCAAAACAGCGGCGTCCCAGAACCTCCCCCCTATGCAAAAAAAAGAAGGGGTGTCCTTAGAGATTTTGGGAGGATGGCGAGAAATGTTGTGTCCCACCTGCTGAGTTGGAGATCCCATCCCTGCCCCGGGTTCAGTGATGGGAAAATAAAATCTGGTTGATGCTGCTTATAATTGATAGGCATAATTGCATTTTTGATGAGTTTCCCCCGTTTTATACTGTCATTTCTGCAGCAGCCTCCAGACAAGCACTGGGTTCAAATTCTGGGATGTACTATGCAACCCATGATCCTTTCCGAGATATTTCCCAACTAGAAACCCCCAATTCCTTTAAACGACGACTGAGCTTCTCACGAACAGCAGGCCCTTGACTTAGGAATGGTCGCTTAGCGACTGTCCAAAGTTACAACGGAGCCCGAAAAATGGACTTATGACCTGGATTCTTACGACATCTGCATTTGTGGCCGTTTGCAACCTCTTCAATCACATGACTACAGTTTGCCATGTTGTTTTCTGGAAGCTGATATTTTGGCAAAAAAGAAAAAAAAAAGAGCCCTCTAGTGGTTTTGCTTAACGACCGTAGCATTCTCTTCAGGAAAGTCACACACAAAAAAAGCCTCCTGAAATTTGATCAGAGTCATGTGATATATATATATATATATATATATATATATATATTTAACAAAATGTGGGCATTCCTACCCTGCACAGGGGGGCTGGACTGGATGATCTCTCATGTTCCCTCCACAGGCTAAGAGTCTACAATTTGGGGGCCAACCCCGCAGAATCGGGCTCAGATCGTGGGTGGATGCACAGGGTTAGCTGGTTCTGTGCGGAACAGCGCCGAATGCCACCCCGCCCATCATTCAATGGGCAGGTTCCGAGTTCTAAACACGACTCAACAGACCCCGGGAGGAAGAGGAAGAAGGGCACTCACTGTGCTGTCTCCAATGTCAGGATCGTCTGAATGGGGCGCCGGTTCATACCCCCCATGCACGAACTGTTGCACATGTAATTGTACAGGATGATGGTGCACGCCATCCCCACCTGTAGGGCACACACACAGAGAGAGAGAGAGAGAGAAATTTGCACAAATGCAGCTAGTCCTCGCTTAGCAACCATTTGAAGTTACGACAGATCTCCACGGGGGGAACGTATGACCCAGTTGCATGGTTTGAGAATAAGGGAAAAAAGCAGTACTGTAATTAAGTAAAGAATATGCAGTTATATATACCGAATGTAGAATCAATAGAAAATATATTATGTAATGAGTGGTATAAATATGGAATAAGAAACAGTGAATTAATAGAGAAAGTAATATGTAATAATTGTAATGTAATAGGAAACTAAGTGTAAGAATAAGATTAAGAAATGTAAATGGTGTCTTCAATGTTGGTATAATTGTGTATTTTTTCTATGTTTTTAAACTGTTTAAAAACCGAATAAAGTTTGTTTGGAAAAAGAAAAAGAAAATATGTATAAGATGTTCTATATGTGGCATTTGCTCCCAATGAGACAAGCCAAAATGCATCCTAACATGAATCCAACATGCTGGAAATGCAGACAGAACCAAGGTACCTTCTACCATATGTGGTGGTCATGCCTGGAAGCCCAAAAATATTGAGATTAAAATACAGAGCTGGCTACAAGAGATAGTGGAAGAACGAATAGAATTTAAACTGGAGTTGTTTCTATTGGGAATATTAAGGGGAATTATAGAAAGAAGATTAAATATATCCTGTTATATATTCTGACAGCTTCAAGAGTAATATACACACAGTGTTGGAAACAAAATAGCATGCCTACCAAGGTATGAATAATTCAAAAAATTCTAGACTGTGCTGAAATGGACAAATTGACATTATAACTAAAAGAGAAAGAAGTCGGGAGTATTACGCAATTTGGAATAATTGGTACAATCAGTTGAATAATAGAAATAAAGGAAATAAGAAAATTATAGAGAAAAGTAAATGATGTATATAAAGACGTATAAATGTAGATATTTATATAAAATTGATGTGTAGAATAACGTGTATAATAATGATGATACAGTACTGTTAAGGTCAATAATGTGTGTTAAAGGTGAAAAAGAACAATAAAAATTATTACAAATAATAAAAATAAAAAATTATTACAAATAATAATAATAATAATAACAACAACAACAACATTTCTGGTCTAAACTCTACTTTCTGGTTAAACATCTCTTTATTTGCCACCAGTATTATTTTTTTTGCTTTTATACACTTCCACCACATATGATAATAGGTCCCTATCTCTATTGTTACATTTCCAGCACTGTGGTGATAGTTATGGAATGCAGTTTTGATTTCCAAGCTGCCGCACTGCTCTGTTGGCAACTCTAAAAAGAGCAGAGAAATATTTTATGAGTTGACAGGCAGCAGAGAAGAAGAAATGGAAGATGGGGAGGGCTGGGGTTGACCCTCCCAAATCACCTCTTCACCCTTGCCTCCCACCCACCCAACTCCCCCCCCCCCAAAAAAAATTCACCTGAGGCTTCTGGTAAGGAACCAAGACGCTGTGCCGATTGGTGGTCGGGTGTGTGTGGTAGAAGGCCTGGAGGTTCCCTTCTACGCGGATGAGATGATCGGCGGGGATCGCCTCTATGAAATCGGGGTGCAAAAAAAATGGGGGGGGGGAGTTTTGAGTTTATGCCCCCCTTGCAACCCCCGAGAAGTTTCACTGTTGGAAAGCCGGCGTTTCCCCCTTCCCCGATGAGAACTGGTCCTCGACTTACGGCGGTGTTCGTTACAACCTGCGGTGGCGGGATCAGGATTGAGACGCCTGGCCATTGAACTCGTATTTACGACGGCCGGGGCGTCCCGGGCCAGGGTATGTGTGTGGGTCACCTGATTCCATTTAGCGACCGTCTGACCAGCCAAATCAAAGGGGAAGCTGGATTCGATGGACGGCCGTGTGACTGATTGAAGAATTGCTGCGATTCACTTAACAGCGGTGTTGTAAAATAGGGCAAGTCTCGCTTAACCAAGGTCTCACTTAGCAACATAAATTTTAGGCTCGATTGTGGTCGTAAAGCCGAAGACTACCTATAACTAGTCCCCCCCCCCAGGATCCTGGAAGACCCCACCCCTCATATTTGAAGCCCCCTGCAACACAGCCTCCTCGCAACATCCCCCCCGTGCCCCAGAAGACCCCTCCCCATATTTCAAACCCTCTGCAACAGAGCCTCCCCACGACCCCCGTCCCTCCTCCGTGTCCTGGAAGACCCCTCCCCTTTCTCCGCCCCCAAAGCCCCCCTTCTGACCGTCGTTGTGCTCCCGTTCGTGGTGGGGGCAGCGCCTGACTACTTCGGCCATGTGTTCAGATCTCTTGTAGACGGCCATGGCGCGGACCACCGAGCCGGACGGGGGGACCCCGGTCATCTTCACTAACACTTTGCAGGTTTTGCCCATTTGGCAGAAAAGCTTGTTCAAGGATGGAGAGAACTGCGGTGGGAGAGGAATTCAGGAGAAAAAAAAAGAACCCCAATGGGGAATTTAGAAGAGAAGCAGCTGGAAGGGACCTTGGAGGTCCTCTAGCCCAACCCCCTGCGGTTAAGTGAAAAAGTAAAAAAAAAAAAAAAAAAGAATTCCCGGAGCGCATCAAAGACAGGCAGTCTTTGACTTACAACCGTCCCATTTAGCGACCGCTCAAAGTTACAACGGCATTGACAAAAAAATGTTGCAGCTAGTCCTCGAGTTACGACCATTCCATTTAGTGTCCATCCAAATCTACCCACAATGGGACTCAGAATCGTTTTTCACACTTGCGGCCCTCACAGCTTGATGACTGACTCGCATTTATGACGGTCGCAACGTCCCCAGGGTCACGCGATCCCCTTTTGTGACCTTCGGACAAGCAAAGTCAGGGGGGGAGCCAGATTCACTTAATGACCATGTGACTCACTTTAAAATGGCAGTAATTCACTTAGCTACAGAGGCAAGAGAGGTTGCAAAACACGGTAGAACTCTCTTTTAACAAATCTCATTTAACGACATAAATATTGGGCTCCATTATGGCTGTTATATCAGGCACCACGTGCATTTATTCATTTTATACAGGTAGTCCTCAACTTATGAGAGTTTGGTTAGGGACCATTCAAAATTACGACGGCACTGGAAAAAAAAAAGACATTAGGACCGTTTTTCACACTTAACAACTGTTTGTGGCACCCCACAGTCACATGATCCAAATTCAGACGCTTGGCAGCTGACTCACACTTACGACTGTTGCTGTGTCCCAAGGTCCTGCAACCCCCTTCGGCAAACCTTCTGACAAACAAAATCCACCAGGGGGGGAGAGATTCACTTAACGACCACCTTACTACCTTCAAAACTGCATTCGCTTAACGACAGTGGCCAGAAAGGTGGTCAAACGGGACGATACACTCGCTTCCCAACCGTCTCAACTTAGCAACAGAGATTTAGACTTCAACGGTGGCCGTAAGTCGAGCACTTTTTTCACTTTTAATATTTTTATAATATTTTTATTTCATTTATACATTTACCCAAAGTGTATTAAATTTATTTATATATTAAATCTATTTATAAATTTATTAAATTTGTAAATTTAATTATTTATAAATTTATTAAAGTCATTTATGAATTTATTAGTTATTTATAAATTTATTAAAGTTATAGACTCCTTCCATTGGCATGTTGTCATTTGTTTTTCAAAAAACAACAACCAATCAATTAAAAAAAACACTTGACCCCACCCCCTCCTCAAAGGCCTTGCCCTGAATTGCAACCATTTACTGGTGTGACTGAGGAGAGGGGTTTAAGACTTTCATTGCACCCCCTCCCCAATTTCAAGCAAGCCCCTTACCCAAATTTTCCAACTCAACGGTGGGAATTTTGACCTCCTTCTGCCTTCATTGCAAGGAAAAAGGCAATTTGAGGTGTGGGGGTCTCTCGCCACATGCTGGAAAATGGGGAGGGGGTCTTAACCCCCCCAAACTCCCCTCCCTCTTGAGGAATCTTCAAAGCCCAGCCATTGGGTAGGCAGGCTGAAAATGGAGGGGGGGGGAAGAGTGGGGGGGGAAGCAGTCACCTCCATCCAAGAATCGGGAAAGCGACCGATGGGCGGAGCAACGAATCGATGCGCTGAAAACATTGAGAAAAATCGGTACGCCAGCTAAGCGGGGAGTTAAAAATTGGGGTTCAAGGAAGGGGGGGCAGAGGGTCTCTCCCCCCCCCAAGCTGCCATCTTATGGGTGTCAACTCATAAAATATTTCTATGGTCTTTTTTAGAGTTGCCAACAGAAAGGGAGGGGGAGAAAAGGGGTTTGAAAGAGCAGCGTGGCAGCTTGGAAATCGAAAGCGCATTCCATCAATAGCTTTTCAAAGATAATAATTAGGAGACTTTAGTTTCTGCAGGTGCAATTGGGCGTCATGGCCACAATTGTGACAATGGGATGCGGAGAAATTGGGGAGGGGGAAAAAGGGAAGGTCTCCCAGGTTTTTGCCGGGGAGGGTCAAAAGATGCGTGAAATATTCACCCAACGAACAGGGTGTGTGTGTTGTCTAATATGCGCTTCGTCCACATTTCTGGGTGTCTCCATGAGGCTAAAATCCAATTAATATAGATATTAATGGGACATAGAGTTCTCGGCTTACGACCACAATCGAGCCCGTTTCTGTTGTTAAGCCAGACGTGGGTAAAAGTACGTAATTCTGCCCAGTTTTATGGCTTTTTCTGCCGGTCGTTAAGCAAATCGTTGTCCATGTCTAAGCAGTTGTTAAGTGAATCCATCTACCCCTCCCCCCTGTGGGTGTCAGAAGGTCACCAAAGGGGGAATCCCCTGATCCAACCCTCCACCCCCCCCCCCCCGGGAGGACACTGTCAAAATCTGGATCGCGGGGAGGCGGTGACGGTCATAAGGGTGAAAAATCATCATAAGTCACGGTTTTTGTTGCTGTTGTAAGTTTGGTCGCTAAACGAACCGTTGTAAGTCAAGGACTATCTGTATTCATGGAGGGGGGGGTCTCCTGGGGGGGCAGGAGCAGGAAGGTGTGGATTTCTGCCGCTAAACGAGACAAGGCTTGGGTTTTGCCTCATTTTACAACCGTTACTGCCAGTCGTTGTGAATCATCGCTGTTAAGTGAGACATGTTGTTGTTAAGTGGATCCCATAGGTTTTGCTGGTCAGAAGGTCACCAAAGGGCGTGAACCCTCCCCACAGGACACTCCGACCATCATAAGTGTGAGTCGGTTGCCAACCGGCCGAATATTGATTGTGTGATCCATGGTCGTTAAGTGTGAAAAATAGTCCTATGTCAGGTTTTTTTCAGTGCCCATGTAACTTCGGTTACTAAATGGAACCGTTGTAAGTCGAGGACCACCTGTAAAACTGGGACCTCTTTAATTTCTGGGAAACCCATCAGTCTCTTTCCTCCTTCTGGGTATTTTCCGAAATAACTGGGGGTCGGAGTGAGACGATACCCATAAGGCACTCCCTGGGGGCCCGCCAGGTTGGCGAAACCGCTCGATTCCTCCAAAATGGCAACCAGCAAAGCAGTCTGGGAGTTGTAGTTCAGAAACCTGAGGGCACCAGACACCTCACCCGTAAACTACCGCTAATCCTTGTTTTATTACCGTTTTTGGGGCCCGACGGTCATTAGCCAGGGCGATTGATAAGCAGGTCATCACGGGACCGATCGTACAAGCTCTTTAAAGCGGCCATCGTTAAACACCTCGGTCCTTAAGCAAAACCATTGCCTGTTATGGAGCATTTGGGGTAGTTTTTGACAAAAAAAAAATGATGTCAATTGTAGTTATGTGATTGTGGGACAAAGCAAAGGGGCTGAGTTGCGGTCCGGTGACCACCAAGGAGGGGAGCGTGATCGGAACTCGGAGCCCAGGTCGTATATATGAATCTTGGGCCTGCGGTAACATCAGGACGTCGCTAAGCAGAACGGTCGTAAGTCGAGGACAACCTGTATTATGTGCCAGCCACCTCTATCCCCCGAGCTACATTGGGGAAAACACAGATGTATGGCGGGCACATTTCGCACTCAGAACCTGGTTTCGGAAAAAAGTGAGGTGCTTCCAAACAATCTTTTGTGTAGGCCACAAAACCCGGCTCCAAATAGCCCCACCCTGTGCACTTTTTTAAATAAACAGGATCGATGGCAAACCGAGATTGCCAGCAGGAAACCTGGAATCTAGGTTAGGTTGACCTCACCCATCCATCCTGTGCGTTTTTAACAAACCAGGGTCGATGGTAAACTGAGATTACTGACAAGAAATGCAGAATCTAGGTTATGTTGACCTTACTCATCCACTCTGTGCACTTTTTAACAAACCAGGATAATGGCAGAGATTGCCAGCAGGAAACGCGGAATCTAGGTTGACCTACCCACCCACCCTGTGTGCTTTTAACAAACCAGGATTGATGGCAAACAGAGATTGCCAGGAGGAAACAAGGAATCTAAGTTATCTTGACCCCAACTGTCCATTCTATGCATTTTTTAAACAAACCAGGATTGATGGCAAACAGATTGCACACAGGAAATGGGGGAAAGGATTAACCTGGGGTGGCCACCATTTTGACTTTTGTCACCTAAACGCCCTCCCCAATGCCCCCGATCAAAACAGAAGACCTGTTTTTGGGGGTGAAAGACCCCTGCCCCACAATTTAACTCTACAACTGGCAATCTCTCCCCCCCCCCCCCCCCCCCCTCCGTCCAGTGTAAGTGACCGACTTGGCAGTGCCCGACGGCTCAAACTCCAGATTAAAGCCGAACTGGCCAGGATAATCTTCGGCGAATGGGAAGACGCAGCTCTCCGCAGCCCCGTAATCTTTGGGGGAGCAGACCAGAAAGTTGGGGTCCCCCGAGAAGTCGCCCAAACCCAGGTTGATGCCGAAGTCTACTCCCCCTGGATAGCCTTCGGACAGAGGAGCCAACGGAGAACCGGCCGCCGTAGCCAACAAGCCAAAGTTGGCTTGACCCATGGAGCTGCCGCCTTCCTCGGAGAACGGAATGAGGGCTGGTTGGGTGGAGGCCACCAACGTCGATTCCTGAAACATACAAATATAGTTATATCCGTGGTGGGAACACGGAAATATAGGACAGATTAGAACAGGGGCAGCTGGCTGGGGCCAACTAATCGCCGGAACAACCGGATCGCTCAAACCGTTCCAAACCGTCTGAATACCACCCCTTGAGGCATACCAAGATGTTATGGAATGACCCACAAACAGGCCTTAGTAGTTGCCATAGTTTAAAAAAAAAAAAAGGGGGGGGGGGGAGGAAATCTGGAAGAGCAGGCAGCAGTTGGAAAGCGGAAGTACATTCCAACTCTTTATCTTTAAAAGAGTGTAACTAAAATACCAGAGCTTTTGCCTGCGAATATATTTAGTTGGAGGACATGATTGATGATACCCAGCCTGTGAACGTGCTCAATTGGAGAATCTGGCTTATGACATACCCGAGGGGGTGGGGGAGGAGGGAAACAGTGTCACAGGTGACTGTAAATTACGTATGCCAGAGTTGGCTTCATCTAGGTTAATGCCAGCATGTCGCTCCTAAAAAACCTTTTGAAGTTTGGCTCGAGAATCATGATTTAATTAGGGCAATTGCTGGAATCCTGACATTTACATGAAATTTTCATGTTGATATGACATGTTAACATGTTGATTTGAACGATGGTTTTCCTGATTTGATAAACCAACGATTCCGGGCATTTTGGCGCCCAATAAGCCACAAATCGTGGTTTAGTCAATATACGTTACATACGTTGTAACCTAGTTGACAAGGTAGCGTTTGCTTCTGTTTGGGGAGTCAACTGAGGCGAACAGAGCGGGTAAATCCGTATTGTAAATCCGTGGTGCTGGCTGGGGGAATTCTGGGAATTGAAGTTCCACCCCCAATGGCTGAAAAGGAATTTCACACTCACCAAAATCGGCTTGACGATGGAGGACGTCCACATCTCCTCAAAGGTCCCTTGGCTGAGGGGTGGGCTCAGCATTGGGTCGAGGTCTTCCTCCGCGACTTGCTCCATGTTCATTCTTCTCTCCAATGGGGACACTGAGGCAAGGAAAGAAAGAGGTGGAAGCAAATGTCAAATCTCGTTCACCCCATCTGAAATGGAAACCATTTTGGCGCCAGTAATGTAATTCCCTTCTTCCTGGGGGGGGGGGGGAAGGGGGGGGGAGATGCGGCAGGACTACAAACCCCAGGATTCCCTGCCATTCACAACATGGCGAAGGGAGACCAAAGAATTCTGGGAGCTGCCACAAAGAGCAGCTTGGGAGGCCGATGTATTTATTTTTATGGTGTATAAAAACCAAGTTATAAATCTGGCCAACTCACA